AAAGTCAGGCTATCGCTCCAAACCTGCAGGCTTGCAATAAATAAAAAGGATTGCTATAGTACACAGCACACACACCCTCACCCTGCAGCGACTCCAGCTCAGCCCCCCTCTGCTCTGAAACCATCCTCAGAGGCTCGGTGGGGAGCCGACTCAGCTGCCAAGACCTGGGCAGGCAAGAACAATTGCAAGCTGTGAAGGGAAAAATAAATAAAAAGTGGGTATGGAGCTTGCACCAGAAAACTGCAAATTAGTTTCTCAAGGTCTGATATGACTAGAACTTCAGTAACAAGTGTGGCTGAGGAGAGAGAAGCAGCGAGCTTCAAGAGAGAGATGCATGGCAAAACTAGGTAGGGCACCTCCCCAGCTGGCTTCGGTTGTGTTCTGGAGTCAAGGGAGAAATGGAGCAATTGCGTGGAGGGTGCCAGTGTGGTAGAGTGATTGCAGTGCTGGACTGGGGACCCAGGGAGATCTGGGATCCAATCCCGACTTAGCCATGAAGCTCACTGGTGACTTGGGACCATTCACTGACTTCTGGGCCAACCTACCTCACAGGCCTGTTGTTCTTATAAGGATAACATGGGGAGAAGATTATGCAAGCTGTCTTGGATTCTTTGCAGGAGCCAGGTGGGATGTAAATATAAGGACCCCTAATAAACAGTGACACAGAATGGCACTCACCATATTCTGTCATTGCTTTTTGGGGTGGGCAACCTCCAGCCCAGAAGCCCCGTCTGGCCCTCTTGAAACCACAACCCTCATTGCCACAAGCAGCATTGTTTGCTAATTCCCTGGCTTTTGTGCATTTTGCTCCCTTTCTGAAGCCTGGTTAATAGCAATAAGGGTATTAAGAAAGATGCTGTTTGTTTGCTCACTCGCTTGATCTCACAGGTAAAGCTGGGCCAGGGGCTGAACCACTTGAAACTCCCAGAGTGTGCATGCATTTCATAACAGAATGCTTCTTCAAGGAACAACAACACAGCATGCTAGTCGATAGAAAACCAGCCCTTGGTGACAATGTTAGAACCAAACATTTCCTTAACATTCTGTTTTCTATATTCAGGGATTCATTCACTCATTTCTTACATATAGGGAAAGCCCTCCAGCATACACAGCTCTGTCCCATAACATAACCCCCTGCCCTGACCACCCATCATCTTCTGCCAGAAGTTGCTGAACCACTCTGCCTCATGGGAGGAACAATTAAACCTCAACATGGAGAAAAATGAATACAGGATGCTTCCACCAGACCTGCTAAAGAACATTCCCATAAAACTCCTTCCTCACCTGCAGCTGTCAACAGGTTGGAGGAGAAAGTGTGACAATAACTGGATTCACGCAACACAGTAACCTGCACTGAAGAGTTGAGCATAGTTGAGGTTGAGTGTTGGTTTTTGCTGAATCACTTATTTATTCATTTAAAACATTTGTATGCCGCCCAACTGCACCACAGCACCCCTGGGCAACTCAGCACACGAATTATGGGTTGTTCTTGGCACATGGGTTACTGTGTTTTCTGAACTCAGCTTAAACTAACAAGCCATTAACAACCCATGAAGAAAATCCATGGTTTGTTCTTGGGTTGTGAACTGTGGTTTGTAATCTCAGCTGGATTCAGACAACACAAGAATTTGTAGGGACTGGCTTGCATCTCTCATTTTACAGTCTTCCAAGCTAGAAAGCTCAGGAGGTAAGCAAGAAAAAGAGTTGGAATGAGTTACTGAAATGCCAAAGTTAATGAGTGAGATTAGCCAAGTAGGTGGTGAGAACCAGACCAGCACTGGTTTGTGAGGCGACCCTGTGGAACAAGGAGCGTCAGACAGGAAGGGATGTGAGTTCACAAACCCAGTAATTTGTTGTCAAGCCATTTGAGTCTGTCAAGCCATTTGTTGTCAGGTTAGATGAGGTTTCACTAGTCAGACCTCACCTGGAAAACTGTGTCCAGTTCTGGGCACCAAGATTTAAGAAAGATGCAGGTAAAGTAGAAAGGGTTCAGCAGACAGCAAAAAACTGATCCAGGGTTTGGAAACACTGCCCTGTGAGGAGAGACTGATAGAACTGGGCATGTTCAGCCCTGAGAAGAGAAGACTGAGGGGGGCATGATATCCCTCTATAAGCACCTCAAAGACTGTCACAAAGCGGAAGGCCAAGATCTCTTCTTGCTAATGCCAGAGTGTAGGACATGGAATAATCGAATTGAATACAAGTTGTGACAACCCAGATTCAGGCTGGACATCAGAAAAGGCTTCCTCACTGTCAGAGCAATAGGACAGTGGAATCAGCTGCCTAGAGAGGTGCTGGGCTCTCCCACACTAGAGACATTCAAAAAGAAACTGGAGAGCCATCTGAGTGGGATGGTGTAAACTGGTGTCCTGCAACAGCAGGGGGTTGGACCAGATGGCCTTCATGGCCCCTTTCAACTTTACTATTCTATGATTCTATGAGTAGACCAATTAAGTAATGTCTGGTCTTCCTGTCATCTGGTCCAAAAGCAGCATAAATCTCCCCAAAAGTAGAGCCAATCAACTCCTGACATAGAAACAGAGTGAGTCAGAAGGGGTCTCCCGGGCCATCTAGTCTGATCCTCGGCTCCAGCTGGCTCCACTCATGACATGCCTCCCATGTGCATGTCCAGTCTATCCTTGAACACCCTCACCGATGGGGCCTCAACCACCTCCTGTGGAAGTCCATTCCATACCTTCTCAGGGTCCTAACCATCAGGAAGTACTTCCTGGCATAGCTAACCCCACCAGAGAGGTCATTACTTTAATAGATACCAGTTGTTATCAACTTTGTTATTAAGCACTCTGAATTGCAAAGCTAGTTCCAACTGGCCAGCCTAGCTTGATAAAAGCCTCTAATTTTAGAAGCCTTTCACCTTGATCTGCTGCTCATGACATAACCCACACGTCAACAATCACCACCCATACTCAGTGGTGGTTGTATTGTGTGGAGAGTGTAGAGTATTGTGTTGTCAAAGCCCTTTCATTGATTTGGGAGCACAGCCATCTGTTCTACACCAGCCTACTGCTTGCAGGCTCAGCAGAGAATCACGTTAGCTTATTGACGACCAATATGATTTCCATCTGAGGCCCTGTGCCTTGAATGGTACATGATGTAGCAAAGCAAACTCACCAAAGCAAATTAAGCCCAGGTCTGGTCAGTCCTGGGCTGAAAGAGTGCAAACCTTCCATTCCATCTGGGAAGATCATGTGGGAACATAAATACAGTTATGCATATTGAGTAAAAGGTGGCACACCGCCTATTAATGGAAAGGCTGGTGGACCAAAGGGAATTCAAACAAGGCTATGGGGACTGCTGTGTCCCTAATAAACAGGGCAGGGGAGTAGAAAATGAAGAACCAAGTGGGGCTGGGAAGAGAACAAGCCCCAGGAAGGGGTTGACAAAAGCAGTAGGAAAACAAGGGGCTTGTTTCGCCAACAGGCTGCAAAGGTCATGAAGAATGGGGTATAGAAAGCTACACAATTGCAATATCCAACAGGGTCATTGCAGCGCTAAGCCTCATTTTTCCTCTGCTACTGTAATGTGCTATTGGTTGCACAAGAGTAGTACCCCCTGCTGTGTTTAGTACGCACAGCCACTTACTCAACTCAAACTTTACTAGATTCTCCTCCCACACATTATCCTAGCTTTGGTTAGTGCAACCTAATTTGCACTAAGGGAAGAAATCCGTTGGATACTGCTCAATGTCTGCAGCGCTTGTGCGTGAGCTTGCCAACATCCTGAGCTAGCAGTCCCCCAGGGTTCCACAAATCTGAAGGCCTGTCTTGAAGAGTCTTTCTGCCAGGTCATTTCAAGGCTTAGCATTGTTTTTGTTACTCTCTTCACATCATGAATGAAGGATGCCATTAGGTGCTTTTATTCTGATCTTTTTGTTGCTACCTGAAGACCACTTCTGGAGAAGCAATCCAGAGAGTGGGACATCCCATTGATTAATTGAACAAATTAAACAAAAAGCCACCATGCTTTGTACAAGGTTTTTGGCTGCCTATACCCTGACGTGCCTGATCCTGCCTCATCAGGGAAGCGAAGCAGGTTCAGGCCTGGTTGAAATCTGGACCGGTGATTTAAATGTTGTGAACAGCCCAGAGAGCTTTGGCAGTATAGAAATGTGATACTGGTGCTGGTGGTGATGGGAGCTTTCTTAAGAGTTAGGAAAACCCAATCTACTACCTGGAATATGCAGATTTGCTTCATGCATCATGTGATCCTCGATATGCACACCTGGATGCTCCATAATGGGGAAAGCTGCTCTATGAACTGAAAGCATCACTTCAGGTTTCAGAGGTCTCTCCCGGCCACATCTAGAAATGCATGCGCTTGTGTGCAAAGCTCATACTCTGCTACTAGAGACATGACCCTTCGCCCTCTGCAACAGCACAGGGGAGTTGTGCACTGTCCTCCCATGTCATCTTGCACCACACCACCAAAGCCAGAGAGGAGGAGACACCTTTGCCAAACACATTGGAAAACAAGCACCCTTCCTCTGCACCAGGCAAAAAGTAGCACATGCTGTACCAGTCTCCTTGTCCATTGCTGGGAAGGGTGAAGCAGGATCCTGTCCTCACACCAAGGGCTCTCACCTGTTGCTCCCATTTCCCTGCACCACAAAAGAGCTTCCATTCCATTTGCTCTCAGAGTGTGTATAAAACTTGTGTGTAGAATTAGTATTGGCCTTGGACTGTGTTGTGCTACCGCCACCCAGTTAGTCCAGTGGTCCTCCAAGTGATGGCCACTTGCACTGCCCTTTGTGTTCAGTCAACCCTGCAAAAGCATCAGACAGACATTTGTGCAGATGGATCTTAGGGCCAGTAGCACTACCAGAAAGATTCACTTGCCCACCCCAACCTATCCATTTTTCCTATTGTGTTGTATATTTTTAGATTGTAAGCCAATGAGCAAGAATTATCTTGTTAAACTGATTATATAAGAGCCACTCTGGGAGACTTTTCGGCAAAGGATCACTATATAAATGCTTAAAATAAATAGACACATCCTGAACACTTTATTTAGCAGAGATAAATGCAGGCAAGGCCCTTGTCCTGGGCCAAACGTAACTCCAAGGCTTGAAAAGCACACCAAACACTCTGCAGCATGACAATAGGAAGAGACACAGCTCCAGGATTCAAAGGTCCATTAGGAACCGAGCCACCTGAGAATGGTACTCAGGCTTCAGGTAGTCCCCTAACTCTCCTTTACTGACCCACACGTAGTCTTTGTCCCTGAGTAAAGGCAGCCGGTTGCTTTTCAGGAGGGCTTTGAAAAAGAACACCTTCACTCCTATGGTGCCTTCTGTTCGGGCTGCCCTGGGTAACTTGTACTTGTAAAAGCCGCATGGTGCGTTTCCGAGAAAGCTGGCTTCAGCATTGGTTCCTTGAGGGTTCAGAGGTCAAAAGGAGGAATGCAAAAAGAGGAAAAGGAAGCATCCTTGTCAGAGCAGAAGAACAGTTTATACTTAATAATCCAAAAAGTTTGCCCTCACACAAGGTGCTTGTCTTTGGCTGGACTATCCCTAACGGCACTGACTGAAAAACTTGGGTGGTCACAAGCAGAAGTATTTATGATTTATACAGTATGTTCAAAACAGTTTACATGCAAGAATTCACAACACTGGGCTATTCTCATAAACCAGGAAATGGCTGCATTCACTCCTAATGGTATACCAGGATTCCTGGCTTATCGTGTTCCTGGTTTATTACCCACACAAGAAGTGAAACAAGTTAGAACACTTGGAATCATAAAGATGGCAGGATTGTAAGTCAATGACAAGCCAGGAACAGTGGTTTGCTCAAAAAAAATAATAAAAAAAATCCTGCCTTATTTGGAAGAAACAAACCAGAATCACAGGGTCGGGCATCAACTAAATATTTAAAGATGTTTCCCTATTTAAGTAAACATGAGAAACAAAGTGGAAGTGTACCAACATGTACACTCCCAGCTTACTGTGTACCAACTCTAAGTCAGCAATTCTGGCTGACCACTATGTGTGAGCAAAGCCATTATTTATCATCATGAACGGACGGTTCCCTTCCCCACACCTCCTTGGGGAAGGGATGCATTGATTTTTCACTGCCACCCAGTGGGCTCTTGCAGAAAGTATAACCAGCAAACACCCATTGGAGAAGAGGAAAAGAGGAACATTATAATTCCATTACATACTTCATGAGCGGCAGATAAACTCACCTGGCAGAAAAGAGAGAACTAAAAAGGACATTTTCCCCCTTGGCCTTCATAATCTCTTCTCTCAAATACTCAGTTAAGAAGAAAAATGGAAGCAAGAAGAGAGCATCTTTATGACTGGCCTGGGGGACAGGAGTGCTCCCCCCTCTGTTGTTGCTTTGTGCCATCAAGTCATATGCAGACTTATGGCAACCCTATGGATGAAAGTCCAAGATGTCCTATCCAAGACACCCCTGCTCAGCTTGTATAAACCTCTCTTTTACTTCCAACCCAGGTGAGGCAGCGGCTGTCCTGTCCTTAACCAGTGTCTGGCTGGATGAGGGCCAATAAATTGAGGCCTAATCCAGGCAAGACAGAGGTCCTGCTGGTAGGTGGTCCAGTTCTCCAGTGGATCTCTGTCCTGTTTTGGACAAGGCTGCACTCCCTGCAAGGGACAGGGTGAATAGTTTGGGAGTGCTCCTCAACCCAAAGTTATCCTTGGAGCTCCAGGTGGCAAGAAGTGCTTTCCTTCAGCTTCAGCTGATCCACACACTACATTAATAAATTAACAGGACAAATCTGGAACTCCCTGCCAAGGGAGGCTAGGTTGATTCCCTCTCTGCTGTCCTCCCACCGGTAGGAAAATAATGTTTAGTTTAAGGAGATGCCTGGCATGTAAACAGGCCTGTTGCCAAAGGGTTTTTTTTAATTGGCCACGTACTGTTCATGTATTTTATTATTATTTATTTATTTAGTAAGCTTCTATGCCGCCCCATTCGCAGAAGCCTCGGGGCAGCTCACAATAAATAAATAATCACAAAAAAACCCACAATATAAAAACAATATAATTTGAGTAATGTATGTTACTGTTGTGTTTTTTATTTTAATGCATTTGCTTTTATGATTATTTTAATTAAAGCATGTTTAATCTTTTTTATTGTTGGCCACCTTGAATGATATTCTTTGGTGGACAGGTGGGATATAAATCACAGAAATAAATACAATTAAATGGGTATTAGGTTTATGCAGCATCCTTTAAGGTGAGACTTTACAAAGAAGGAAACAACTTTGCAGTCCAAAGAGCTTATACTCCAAAACCAGAAAGGGAAGGAAATGAAAGTGGGGAGAAGGGAAGCAAATAATGAGTTACACAGAGACACACATATCACTGACCTGAGAGGGTAACCAAGGTCCGTTCTGCTGTTGCTCGCAGAGTCTCTCCATCTTTCCACTCTGTTTGGGGTAAGAGCCAAATATCTTGATCACAAATCTTTTCCTTAACCAGCAGCAGCAGGTTCTGGTCCAACTTCCTGTTCAAAGAGGTCTGATCATTGCTTTTGTCAGCATCTGTCAAAGGGAAGAATCCATTGTCACAGACATCCAGAGAACAAAGCCAGGTTTGTCTCCTGAATTTCTTTTTGCAGCAGAGCTGGATGAAACCATATTAAGGAACACCTCTGGGTGCAGGTTACACAGACAACAGGCTAGCCCACGTTTATATGTCACTTGCCAATGCTTCATCCTATGCACCTTCAGATGACAGGGGAAGTTGTACATTCCTTTCCAAAAGGTCATTTAAATAGTTCAATGTCCAATTGCAACACAGTGACTTATTAAAATTGGCTTTTTGTCTGTAGGGCTCTGACAAAAACACTTCCAGCGCACTGCTACGTTCTGCAATGCATGACCTTTTGGTAACAACTACCTCTAAAAATACTCTACCCTTCTTCAAAAAGTCTACAGATGAAGTCATGAATCATTTAAGCCGCACTACCTGGGCTGATCTAGATTTTGTACCATTTCTTTCAAGTAAGACAGATGAAATGTGAACACTCCACTTTGTCCAGCTGTTCTGAAGACCGGGCATTCAAACACTCAACCGCAATCAACCCAGTCATCAGTGGTGGGGGGCGGGGGGGGGGGCTGCCTTCAGGTGAAGAAGCAGAGAAATTATACAAAGGTGTCTCTTTTTGGCCACAAGTAATTGTCATATTTGTACAGACAGAAGGGCTACATTTTTTCATGGACCAGTACCTTATTTATTAATTTCATATCTATACCTCCCAACAGCCTACATTCCCTGGGCAGCTCACAAAAATTAAAACACCCCAGTAGATGATAAAATATAACATAAAACCATTAGACAATGAAAACAGAGTAATCCAAAGCAAAAACCGGCAATGATGTAGAAGATCTAACAATGCAATGATAAGTTTAATTGAAAGAATGAAATATGTGGGAAATAAAAAGGATATTTGCCTTGCACTGAAACAACCGCACTACACATGGCAGGCAGACCTCTGCGGATGACATTTCTCAACCACAAAATGCCACCACCAAAACGACTCCCCCCTTACCAGCCCTGATTTGGTGGGGAAATCCAGACAAGGGCCTCGTTTTTGAATCTAAGCCTTGTGAAACAATTTGCAATACTTCATTCAACAGAAACAGAACAGATGAGACTTAGAGGAACTGCAGTCGATGGCAAGGTTTCTGCTCATTTTGTTCCATCCAGGCTCAATTCAGTAAATACGCTGGTGCTTTAAGGATGCATTCAATGGATTACCGCCTCAACAACTATAACCCCCGAAGACTGGGAGGTTTATGAACATCCTGGGCAACCGCTGGAAGAGCAGGAGGGCTGATTTCCACCCTCCCTGTCACCCCACCCTGCATTTTTACAAGATAAGCATTTTGGCTGGTTTAACTAGAACATGCTGGAGGGGGAGAAAAGGAAGCTGGACCGATCTCAGGGTAACTCACACTCTGGCCTTTCTAGTCTCATCCTCCCACCACCTACTCAAACACCTCCTCCCCTGTAGTCAGGTTCCTGATCTCAGAGAACAGCTGGAGGGATTCTTCCCACATTGCCTGTGTGTGTTGTGTGATGGGGAGCACACAATCCCCCCCCCCAAGGTCAGAGCTGCAGTGTCCAATCTCGGACTCAGGAATCTGATCCAAGAGGCCCTCAGACACTGTCTAGGGGCCACCTGCTCCCTCAGTATGTCTGGTGCACTTATTGTAATCATGTGACTTAAAAGGGATTCACTTCAGCTGTATTACACTGGTTTTTCTGTTGTCTGAAATGTATATGTAGGGAAAAGAAAGATTTCTATCTGAAATGTGCATACTCCTCTTTGTCCTGCTGTTCTGAGGACTGGGCAGTCCAATCTTCAACTAAAATGAACCTGGTCACCTGTGGGAAGCAGAAACTGATTCTAAGCAAGGCAGTTACCTCCTGCTTTCTTTCTTTTTTTTTTTTTTTTTTTTTTTTGAGGAGCAGGTATCTTAGCATGAATCACCTTAGCAAAGTGTGGGGCTGCAGTGTGTGTTTGCTTTTAAGTTGTGTTTGGGCATGGTGCTGCTTTCCCCTTTTCTGGCAAAGCTTTTTTTTAAATAAAAAATCTAAACACTAAATAAAGCAGCCTCCTGCCCAGACCCTGCTGCTGCATTCTACTCCCACTCAATTGAAATTAAGTCAGCACCCAGCCTGAACAAATGTGGCCAGCAACAACTCAGCATGATGAGGGGGGAAGTGTGGATCCAAACCTGTTATCCGTGGGGCAGGAGTGAACATTTGGAAATTCTGTTCCCATTTCTCTTCAAGATCTTGGGTCAGCACTATCTCCTTCCCAGAGTCATCATCGTCATCATAGTTGTCTTTCCTCCTCTGCAGACGTTCCTCCTCTGCCAAGCAGTGAAGTTCATGGTCTGAATACAAGCTTTTCTCTATCTCTATCTGGAAAGCAAACCAGGAGGTCAGATCTGAAAGACTGCAAGGCAGTCATTTAATTCCAATGTATGCAATGTCACATTGGATAGGACAAGACAGAATGGGTTAAGGCAACACCTTGGAACTCAGGCAGCTGTTTTCGGGATAGAAATGCCATTTCAGACACCACCCTATGCTAATTTTGACAGAAAAAAGGCTACAACTCCCAGTATGCCTCAGCAGCATACAGTGCCTTGCAAATTTAGTAGTAATGTGATGGCACAGGGAGGAAAATGTTTTCGAGGCCACTCCCCACCCCAACCCTTAACATCTCTAGCAATGTATTTAGTACACTGAAGGTTGAGTCCCATGTATCCATCCATGATGGCAGACTTCCTAAGTAATGTCAGTTCACCTGCGGCCTAGTGAAAAAACAAGATCAGTGTGTGAAAGGACTGTAACCTCAGCTCTAGCATGAAATCAAGTTTCTGATCTGAGTATGTGGGGAGCAGCATTGGAAGTCTTCTTCAAAGTCATACAAGCCAATATCTGAGACCTGGTTAACCACAGGGCTCTAGCTATACATTGCTACTGCCCCTTTTGTGCCAAACCCATTTGATTAACTGAGCAGTCTGTTTCCATGTTCTCTCAGTTCTTCTGGCAGAGGGATTTGAACCGTTCTGAGAGCTCTGTGCTAATGAATAGGATATAAAAGCCTAAATACAAATACATACTGAATCTAGTAAACCTGAAGTGCACCCCTGTCATTGTTCGGTAGGTCATGTGTTTTGTATACAAAAGCTCTTGATTCTGGCCTTTCCAGCTAAAAGGGCAAAATAGCAAGCAGTACATGCAACCTCTCTCTGAAACCAGAGAACCACTGCTGATTAGAAGAGACCAGGTGTGGCAGACATGGGGAGCAACTTGTGGCTCTCCAGATGTTTGGACCTACAACTCCCATGATCTCCCATCATAGGTTACAGCTTATAGCTGATGGGACTTGTAGGCTGAAACTTACAGAGACTGCCCAGGAATAGCCATAACCAGATTAGATGGAACGGCAATTACAACAAAACAGTATGCCTAACATTATTCAAAAGAAAGAAATTTATTTTAACATAATGCTTAATTGGACCTATAGGTTTAGACAACAGCAGCCAGGAAACAGCTATATGTGGGACTGCTGCCGCCTTTCCTACCCATGATACTGAACTTCCCAAAACACCTGTTTGGTGCTGTTAGAGAGGGGAAAGTTGCCTGTTTGATGGATCTTTAGCTTGGTCCGGCGAAGTTCTTCTTACAGAGCTTAGAAGTGGTGATATAGCGGTAGTGCCATTATTCACAGGAACCTGCCTAAAAATTCTTCTGTTAACAGTGAACAGCAAGCAACTGGGAGCACATGACCCCCAATCAGTCTTCCTTACTGCCTAGAGAGGTGCTGGGCTCTCCCACACTGGAGACATTCAGAAAGAAACTGGACAGTCATCTGAGTGGGATGGTGTAACTTACTGTCCTGCAACAGCAGGGGTTGGACCTGATAGCCTTCATGGCCCCTTTCAACTCTACTATTATATGATGCTATGACATTATTATTAAATCTTCTTAAATTATAATGCTTATTTCTTATTTTGCGTCTCTCCAGGTCTATCTCTCACTAAATAACATATGCATATTTACATTAAAACACACAGATTTTATGCAAACCTCAGTCCTCGTGTTTTGCGATGTATTAAATTTGTTTGGTTCCCCCCCCTTTGGAGGGGGGCAGGCATAAGTGAAACTTTCTAACTAAAAGCCATGGTAAAAACGTCAAATTTCTAAAACCGAACGGGGCACACTCAAGGCCGCCCCCCCCGTCCCCCAAACTCCTGCCCAGCTGCGACTTTCACCTGCCGCAACAATTCTGCCATCTCCTCTTCCTCCGAGCTCATTGCCTGGGTGAGCCTGGGAGGTCTCTGCAAACAAAGCGCCCCGAGAAGCCTCCATTTCGGTACGGCAGCTGCGGAAATGCAAAGGCCCCGCCAGCAGCCGCGGAAAGGCCCCGCAGAGCGGATCCTCAAAGCAGCTCCGATCGATGAACGACCTACGGACGCCGCCATGTTCCCCGGGGGACCACAATGCACCGCGGCAGTAACTCAACGTTAGAGATAGAGCGAGATAGGAGTCTAAGAGAGGGAGTGAAAGGAAAGAGTCATATGCTGCCTGCACTTGCGGGGAACGCTGGAAACCGCCATTTGCACACAGATAAACAGAGTTACAGACAAGCTAAATTATCTCCTTCAGCCGCGCAGGGAAGCAGCAGATGTCGGTTAAGGACTGCTGAGAGGCAGTGTAGTATAGTGGTGGAAGCGCTGGACTGGGGACGCGGAAGAGCCACACTCGCCCATGCTTACAGGGTGACTTTGAACCAGTCACTGACTCTCTGCCTGACTTACTTTACAAGGTTGCTGTAAGGATAAAATAGAGCAGAATAACTTTGTAAACTGCCTTGAGTTCCTTGCAAGAGGAAGAAATCGGGTAATCAGGGTAATACGATAATAATAAATTTCGATTCTCGACTACCTAAGCAGGCCTAGGACATGTCCCTAATTGTGGAAACAACGCTGCACACATATTAGCAGAGCACAAAACCCTGCAAGCAAATGAGACCGAGACATGGACTGCAAAGAATTTGAAGGTACGATATTTGTAGACCACAAATTGGCTGCAAATTCACGAGTTCTTTGCGTGGAAGTGCAAAATCAGAACTGCGCTATCTTGATTCCCAATACGGTAGCAGTGGGCTACAATAGAAGTACACATTCCCCCACGCAATACAAGATAACGGGGTATAATTGCTTTATAATTGGAATAATAAGTCCAACGAATTTTTCTGCACACAGGTCCTCAGACTGTGCAGTGACACCAGTTGCTACCGTTTGCTTGATGGCGGACCAGATGCTGTCTACTCAGAGGTTCGTTTTTATTCTGCATTCTCCCATTGAGACCTATGGGTGGCTGACCTCCAACCTGGAGAGTTTAAAAGAGCTTCTCCAGCTCGAGCCCGGAAATTCCCTCCTCCAATAAGGCATTTCTCTATAAGAGCATATCTCTGTAGTCAGGCTTCTCTCTGTCTTAGTATCTCTATAGTGAAATCACCTCTGTATGGGTTAAGAGAGGGCGAGGAAGCGAGGCCATCCCCCGTACGGAGCTCTCAGGCCTGGGCGCCGCCATCTTGAACGGAGGGATAGGGCTTCAGCGGCGTCCGAGCAAACGGAGCCGTACACGCGAGGGTCGCGTAACAAAAGGGCAGCGCCTTTCTCGTGGCCCGACGGTGGCAGAGAAGCATCATGTTTCCCATCTTGGTGGTTGTCCGGCGTGGGCTTTTCCGAGGCGCTTTGGGGTAAGAGTCGAAGCGCCGCTGACATACATAATCCGCGTGGTGTGGGAGCTGAAGTGCTGCCTCATCCCGGGCTCGAATTGCAGCTTCGTGGGTGACCGTGGACTTTCCCCTCCTTCTCCACGAAACCCACCTCGCGGGACTGTTCCTCACCTTTGCTGTCCGTGGAAGACTTAGGAGCTCCCACCAACACACAGTGCGAATGAATCCATTTTCCTCTTGTCTAACTTTTTCATCGTCCAGTTTTCACAACCATAGGTTGCCATAGGAAAACGATTACACAGACTAATCTGTATTTGGCTGCTAAACTGACGTTCTTGTTTTTCCACATCCGAGTCATGCTCGTCATTGCCGTACGACCTAGTGAAATTTGTCACTTTATTTCTGCATTGCTGCAAGTAATCAGTGATTCCAGGAAAGTGAGTTCCATTACACATTCAATTTGCAAACTATCAGTTGCTATTTTGATGGCTTCATTCTGTGCAGTCATCAAGATCTTCATCTTTTTTATGTTCAGAAGGTGGCGGAACTTCTCATTCTCTTCTTTGAGTCTTTGGATCAATTGCTTTAGACCTTCCTGGATTTCTGAGAGGAGGGTTGTGTCATCAGTATATCAAATGATGTTGATGGCTCCTCCGATTTTTATCCCGACTTTTGATTCTTCAAGACCCATCTTCCTTTTGATTATTTCAGCATACAAGTTGAATAATGAACTAATTAGTGTTCCCATGTGGTGTTCTTACAGCTACTTGCTGGTTTGTGTATAGTGACTGGATAACCTTCTCCCAGCAGGTTCATGTAGCTGTTAAACAGCATGGAGGGCAAGACAGAGGCTTGCAGTACTCCATAGCATCACTGTCATGGCGTAGAGCAACCCCAAGCACCACCTTCTAGACACAGGCAGCCAGACAGGTATGAAGCCACTGCAAAGCAGTGCCTTCAACTTTCAGTCCTGCTGACCTGTTCAGAAGGACACCATGGTTGATGGTGTTGAAGGCCATGGTGGAGGTGCAGGATCTGGAATGTTAAATTTAAGGGAAAAATTGATTTAATTTAAACATGTTTGGGAGGGGGAAAATTCCAAGATGTGAATGTAAAGAAGATTGTGTGCTGATAACGTTAAATCTGAACAAACACATCCTCCAGTAAGACAGAAGTTTTTATTTTTATTTTTACTGACTATAAATCTTTCTTTCACCTACTTTCCTTCTAGATTAGCATTCCCCAAATGTGTGCTGTTTCAGAAATTTGGGACTTCAGTGCCCATCAACCCCAGCCAGCATGGCCAATGGTCAGGAATTCTGGGAGCTATGGTCTAAAACATCTGGAAGGTACTTGGGTAGGGAAGGTTACTCTAAACAGAGATAGGTGAAAGTGGCAGCTGTTAAAGGCACACAAGGAAGGCCTGTAAAAACTAAATTAAATGGTGACAGCCTTTAGCTGCATGTTTGGTGAATTTCTTATTGCCTTTGGCTGTGTGCTTTGGTGAAATGTTGTTTAGTTGTTAGATTGCAACTGCATCACTTTCTTTAATCTTTTTCCTGTGTCTTTCATAGCAACCTGAAAAGGTGTTAAGGAAGGGGGAGATTGGCATGGATGGGGGGCAGCATCATTTACTGTATTTCTTGTGTGTGTTACAATGCTGCTAAGGAAAAAGAAGAAATGTGCCAACCAAATGAAGCTGCCAAAGATGCAGGATCTCAGCCAGAAAAAAGGGCAATGTTTGGGGTGCAAACTAAGGAAAAAGAGGTCACTCAATGAAAATTTGCAGTGAACAGCGGTGGCAGAGACTTCCAATGTGCTGAGGAAGTAGGTGGACCTGCTTTGGGGAGTGAACTGATTCAGTGTGGAGGAGCAGACTCTCATCAGGGTGGTTCCTTGCAAATGGACAAGAAAGAAGAGCTGCATCACCAAAACAAAGGAAACCAATCTGCATGATATTTGCATGGACCTGCCTACTGTTATAAATGCCAATTTAGAAATAGTTGTTACAATTCCAATAGAAATTCAGTGACCTCCAGCACAAAGAGGAAGACTGTGACCAGGTGTGCCTTGTGTGGCCTGCTGTCCAGATGCTGTTGAAAGGCAACTTCAAGCTCTATTTTTTGACTGGCCTTGGACTGGGCAGCCCTTCAGATACAGCAGACTTTCAAAAGAGGGGACAGTCCCTTTGCAGCCATTCAGAGGACTGTCCTCTATTGTTGAAGACCTGACTATGCTTTGTATGCATATCGTTTCATCTACACAAAGGGCAACAGGGTTGATAGCACACTTTAGTTCTGTGCTCCATGTCCTGACTGTGGATTTATCTCTAAGCATGTGCTAAAATGGGGAAGGTGAGGTTTTCAAAGCTGACTGATAACAGAAACCCCCAAACTCAGTCCTTCCTGTCCTTGTTCCTGTCCTTGGGATCTGCTTTTGGATCACCCACCAGATGTACCTGCCTACCTCATTTTCTACCTGTATGTTTTACTGCTGAATAAACAGCTTTTGTGCTGAGTTCTGCCTCCCAGGACACGCTGGAAAAGCTAGGCTCCTCCACAGCTTCATACCCAGACCTGGAAGCTGCATGCATGCACACATGCATGTGCACATGCACTCCAAATCCTGCTGCAGGCCTAGATTATTTATTTATCTTAATATTTATGTACCACCCCATTCCTACAGGCTTAGTGCAGTTATCTTTAACTGCAGGAACCAGCAGCCCTAAATAGGCTGAAAGTTGTCCTTTAGGGCTTTACCACCAGGTAGACGCAGCACACAGAGGAAAGTCCTGGGGTGTCTCCAGTCAGAAAGGACTGTGGGAAGTGGGGAGTGGGGAAAGCACCTTGTCCAAGAACAGCAGCCTACCCCAACCTTGGGGGATGGCGAGTCCCACCAATACCCAGTATGTCCATTGATGGAAGTTGTGGTCCAGCACCTCTGGAAGATACTGGCTTGGACGAGCCTAGCATGAATGACCTGACTTAATAAACTACTTCCATTTAGTTCAGCAATGGGCAGCCTGAGGAAGTTTGGGGGGCACTTGCTAACTTCAAAGGTTGTGAAAAAATTGAGAAATTCTACACCTTAATTCGGTGACAAACTTCCTTGGGCTAAAAGGGACAAATTTATCTTGTTTTCAAGCAGCAGAGGAGTGTCCTTGATGCTGTGGGGGCGGACATTTAGGAACAGTACCACAAACACGTTTATTGCGTGGGTAGAGTGTGTATAAGACCAGAGATTATGGTATTGAAATTTCCAGGGCTACGTGAAACATTTCTTTTCTTCTCAGTTCCACTTATGCCACAGCAGTCGGTAGTTAGTGCAACAAGGCCATAGGTTGACATGGAAATGTTTGCACCCTGCAGAAGCAAAACAATCTTGCTTCCCCTTCCCCCACACCCTACACAAGGTTATAGACAGCCTCTGCTCGCTAACAGAAGCAGTTGGCAAAAATGAGCTTTGTTTGTTTGTGTTCTTCACTGTGATTCCTTTTGAAATGAGAAACTATGCAAAGACTGCCCATCAGCAGGTACAGAGAGAAATGTTTTTACCTAAACATCCTTGAACCAAGAAGTTGTGGTTCTTTGATGGCATTTTTTTCCTTTTCTTAATTGTTGGCTATCTTTTCAAGTGTTGCTTTATTATGTTCTGCTTCTGGAATGCCTGAATTATTTCTGTACAATTTCTTAATGGGGGTGGGGGGAAGCAACTTGATGAGTTGGTCAGGTTGAAGATGGTGATGGGCCCTTCACAGGATCCATTTTCTTACTTTATGCCTTAAAAAAAGGAAGGAAGGAAGGTAGGTAGGTAGGTTATCCTCTAAACTGCCCAGAGCCTCTCTCTTCCCTGCTTTTCTCTTCAGGAAAAAATAACCTATGAGATAGGTGAATATGAGATATACTGACAGTATAAGGATTGCCCAGTGAACTTAATATCTGACCAGGCATCCGAACCAGATCTCCCTGCTTCAGGTCTAACACTCTCTTGATTATTCCATGGTACCAGGTAACCTGGTACTTTTGGTTTTTTGCACTTCAGCTCCCATCATAGCCTGCCAGCACAATCATGCTTGGAGATTATAGGAGTTATAGCCAAAATCTCTGCGGAACATCAGGCTACATAACCTTTTTATATGCACATTATTTTATACGCTGAGTGTGAGCACATTCTTCAAATACTGATCCAAACAGAACACATCCATGCACAAGAGAGAGGTATCTGCAGACTTGGAAGAGTCCCACAAGTTGTTTTTTTAAAGAAAGCAAAATCTGGAGGCAGGGAAGCCCACACCCCATATGAGCATCTCACTGCAGTCTGGGTATGCTCAGAGGCCACAGCCTGCTGAGTCTTTGTTTTTGGGGGAGGATACAGAAAATCGAAGAGAACCTGGAACAGAATGGAGTGGAATACACTAGAGGAAGGGCTGGCTGGCAGGCAGGCAATATTTTGTTGCATGACCCATTTGAAAGCATAAGAAGAGCCATGCTGGTCAGACCAAGTCCATCGTTCTGCTCACACAGTGGCCAAACCACTTTCCCCAGGACATGAATGAAGAGCACCCAGCTGCCCATGTACAACTGATGTACAAAAAAGGACTGCCTCTGAGACAGGGAGTAGCAAACAGTGAACATAAGGAGTAGTTACTGATAGCCTGAATGGGTCCTTTCCCTTTTAAAACCTTCCAAACTAGCAGCCATCTCTATATCTTATGGTAGCAAATTCCAGGCTTTAACTAGGTCCTCTGTAAAAGAGGTCCTTCCTTTTTCTCCCTGTCCTGATTCTCTCCTCACTCAGCTTTGTAGAACTGCCTTTTGAGTTCTATCTTTTAAACCCCCTTGAACTAAATCTTACTACATCAGCAAGTGGAACTGATGGCTAGAACCTCAGCAAGAAGAGTGCTGGAACTGACTCTCAGCAGGCTGTTGCAGACTAATCCATGCTTCCCACTTCTCTCTTCTTGTGGCAGCTGCAGCCTTACCTGGCCTCAGAGCATGAAGGCAGGTGTCCAGCAGCTTCAGGAGACAGCAAAGAATGTGGCCAGTCTAGTGGCAGAAGAGCCAGGAGATAAAAAGAAGAGTGAGTTCAGGTGAGTGAGCATTGCACTTCTTCCCTGGACAAAGAACAAGGCACACAGTTGCAGTAGTGAGTGAGATAGGGTTAGGGTATCGTCTGGTGCAGCCATAATTAAGTGATGAATTTCTCTGAACCAGAATGGAACTTCACATTTTGTAGGGAAGACCTCTGAAACCTCTTTCTTGCTTTATTTTGCTGGAAGTCCTTTTCTTTGCCAGGCTGTGCAAAATACCGTCCTTGGATGGCTAATGTGGGTACAATCTTCTTTGCCATTTTCCTTTTCAGCCTTTTCCCCCCAGCTCCAGGAAGGGAGAGTTCTATGAGATGGGCTGGAAAGCCATTTGAAGAGATCCCAATAGTTCACATCAAAGCAACTTATAACAAGTAAGAGACCAGCTTCTCCTTCTGTGGTGCATGTGCAGAGACAGCTGTCCAGAGTGTGTGTGTGTGTGTGTGTGTGTGTGTGTGTGTGTGTGTGTGTGTGTGTAAGGTGTGTGTGTAAGGTGTGTGCGAAATTTCTCCTAATCTTGTAGATGAGCAGCTTGAATCTTTGCAATCTTTCTTTCTCCTTGCAGTCTTTTTGAAGAAAGAAATTTGGGACGGGGGCGGGGGAGTCCCTAACTAGGGAGTCCCTAGTTAGTCCTCTTAGGTGGACTAACTATCAGGTGAAAAGTGCTCCAGAGCAGCTGTCCTGAAACTAATAAGATGGACAGTAACTCCCACATTTCTAGTCACTGATCTTGGGTGGAAATTTTTCCCATGCTGCTGCTGTTGCTGCTATTATTCTTATTTCTATTATTTCCATTCTGTACATTTATAGACAGTGATGAATAGGTACAAGCTTGTTGGTTTCAAAGTTGTAATTAATGTTTTTCAGTCAATTATCCCTAACAAATATGTGAAAGAAGAAATATGCCATTGATTTGTAAATTGGGGGTGGCAGAATAAAAGCAGTGAACAGATTGTCAGGAATTAGAATGTATCATGCTGTGTCTTAATAATTGTACAAATTGTAAAAGTTGGACTAGATTATTGGTTGTCAGCATATCATTGGGCTGCTTAGATTACTTGTGTGTCAACAATTTTCAGTACCTTTGTGGCAGGGGGTGGTCGTGCTTGCTTGAGTGTCTTTTTCTTTATTTTATTCCACTTAAAGGTAAACAAAGTAAGAGAAGTACATGCTGTTGCCTTTAATTGTTTAAGTGTTGTTGTTAGTTGCGAAGTCATGTCTGACCCATCGCAACCCCATGGACAACACTCCTCCAGCCCTTCCTGTTCTTCACCATCCCCCAGAGTTCAGTTAAGCTTAATTGTTTAAGTAGTCCAATACAATGTCTGCATACTATTTCATTTGAATCATATTACACAAGCAGTCTTTTCAACTGCTCTCTTTGCCCCAAAGTCCCAAACTTCAGAGGGTTTCAGTCATCCAGTACAGGATACAAACACCGAAACTGAGTGAGTCAGAAAGGGTCTCCCTGGCCGTCTAGTCTGACCCCTGGCTCCAACTGGCTGCACTCATGACATGCCTACCATGTGCATGCGTAGCCTATTCTTGAACACCCTCACCGATGGGGCCTCAACCACCTCCCGTGGAAGCCCATCCCATACCCTAGGGGTCCTAACTGTCAGGAAGAACTTCCTGGCATACAAATTGAACCTTGGTTCCCTGAGTTTTGCTCCATTGGAGCGCGTCCTGCCTTCTTCTGCAGGAGAGAACAGGTCTCTACCCACCTCTGAGTGATACCCCCTCACACACTGATATGTTGCCAACAGTTCCCCTCGGAGTCTCCTCTTCTCCAGGCTGAAGAGACCCAGTTCCCTCAGTCTCACCTCATATGGCTTTCCCTGCAATCTGGCCACCATCCTTGTGGCCCTTCAGTGCACTGACTAACCTGGCTATATGCTTCTCGTAATGCGGAGCCCAGAACTGAGCACAATACTCCAGTTGCGGGTGCACCAAAGTTGTATAGAGAGGTAGTAATACCTCTCGCGATCTAGAAGCCACACTTCTGGCAATGCAGCCAAGGGTGGCATTCGCCCCTTGACCACTGCATCACACTGCTGACTCATGTTTAGCCTGCAATCAACCAACACCCCGAGATCCCTTTCACAAGTGCTGCTCTTCAGCCACTTGTCTCCTAACCTATGGAATGTGCTCCCCAGAGAGGTTCGCCTGGTGCCGACTTTATATTCCTTTTGGCACCAAGTAAAAATCTTTTTATTTGTCCAACATTTTAATTGTTAGGAATTTTAATCAGGCTTTAACTTCACGGTCACTTTTTGGTTTTGATGTTGTTTTTATTCTTGATTTTGATTTGATTTTCTTTCATTTGTGAATTGTAATTGGTTGTATGTGTATATTTAATTATTGGTAACTTGTTAAATTATCTGTATCTGATTTTTGTAAGCTACCCTGAGACGCTCTTGCATATAGGGCGGGGTATGAATATTTTAGATAAATATATAACCTTTACTTATGACACCTATTCTTATGCCCCAAGTGCAAGACCTTGCACTTATCCACATTGAAAGACATCCGGTTGTCTCCTGCCCACTTCCATAGACTGTCCAGATCCTTCTGGATCTGAAGTATCTGCTTCTCAGTTGTGGCTACTGCCCCCGTTTTAGTATTGTCTGCAAATTTGATCAGCAGAATGATCACCCCTTTCTTCCATGTCACTGATGAAAAGATTGAACAGGATTGGTCCCAGGACAGAGCCTGGGGGACTCCACTTGTCACTCCACCCTGATGATTCTTCACTATTGAGGTGTCTCCCGCCCTGCATTTTATTGTGACGTGAGACTTTTTGCTCCCTGAGTGGGATATTTCAGGGGAGGGGAGGAAGTTGGAGGAGCCCTGGGATTGCTCATTACCTGGCTTCTTCATCCTCCTCCCATTCCCAGCTGCCGGAAAGCAGCCTTCTTTCCCTCTCCAAGCTCCAGTTTCTGACCTTGGAGAGATTTTTGGTGTCATTTTTGCTACAAGGGGGATGGTTCTGGGGTTGGATCTCTGACTTCCTTTCCGCAGTTGGAGTGTCACATCTGACTTTGAGCTTTATGAGCAATGTTGTGGTCCCTGAGATGCTTACCAAGTTCCCAAACACAGGAAGGATGAGCCAATCCATCCATCCTGCTCAGAGAATAGAATTCCTGGTCGCTTATGACAACTATCTTAGTTCTTAAAGACAAGGCAGGGCATCCCAGTTGAGGACTCTGCACATTGTGTGGTGCACACACAGGCCTTTGTCCACGTGATAAGGAGCCAGCTGGTGTCAGGTCGCTGTTTACAGGCACTGTCATGTGGTCATTGGACATGCACAAGTGGAGAGGGCCTTTGCTGAATGCATGAGCTGACGGCCTGGATGGGGTTTGTAGGGCCTCATCAGAGTCTTTGCCCTGCATATCCACACAAACAGCCCAGCTGGCCAGACCTGTCTAGCCCAGCCCTATGTTTCCCACGGTAGCCATGCAGCCACTGCTGGAAAACCCACGAACAGGAATGAAGGCAAGTATCCTCCCCCATCGCCATTCCCCCACTTCCAAATGGAACTGCCTTTTCCTAGGCCAGGAGTGACAGTTTGCGTTGAAGAAACTGTTTGCCTCAGGCAAGGGATGACTTTTTGCTTCATCCTTAATGATTTTGTTTTCTTCAGTGACCTAGAAGGAGGCGTTTTGTAGTCACAGAGCAGCTGTTCTACTTGGCCATTCTGCTCTCAGTGGGATAGTTTCTGATCCCTGCCAGAAGCACTGCAAGAGTTTTGTTGAAATGTCAAGGTTTAGACAATTTTCTCCAGAGAACCAGAAGAGTCACTGGAAAGCACAGGGACTTTGAATGGGGTCTCACTTCTGTCCTCCTTTGCCTTGGCTCTGTCTGGTTTCAGCACTCATGTCCAGGTTACGTCGCATGAGAATGTCCCATTGGCCCTGTCCACCTGCGGCACTGAAGGGTTCAAGAACGCCAAGAAATCCAGTGTCATTGCTGCACAGGCAGCTGGGATGGCTGCAGCGGCCGTAAGTGATGCTGCTCACCGCTTCAAGTATAATGCTCCTCCAAGTGAATGGGCAATGGCTTGTGTACAGATGTGGGAAGGCTGGATCTCTTGACGCAGTGGCTCTTGAAGGAATCCCAGCATGTCCATGCCTTGCTCTTTTAGGTTGCTCTTGGAGCAATCGCCCAGAGCTCTACCCCATCCCTGTACAGCTGGGTAAGGCAACATTTGGGGGGGGGGGGGCAATACTGTGTTGTGCAAGTAAAAAATCAAATAAATATAGCCAGATACATTTTGAGCACAGGGCTAGTTCAGATATTTAATAAATTATGGGGGGGAGGTACGGAGACAGGAGGAGAGCAACAACAAAGTAATTTCAAAATGCATTTTTATTATTATTTTACTGCATTTCTACCCCACTTTATTTCCTGTTGCGAGGAGCCCAAGGTGAAATACAGAGCTCCCTTTTATCTTCACAAAGACAACCCTGTGAGGTTAGACTGAGAATGAGTGACTGGAGCAAAGTCGCCCCGTGAGTTTCACGGCCAAGTGGGGACTAGAACCCCAGCAGGTCCCCAAACCCAACACTCTAAGCACCATGGCCCACTGGCTCTAGAGCTCAACATTTTGGCTTCCATCTTCCTCAGTAGCTAAACATTTAGATTTAAATCTACTTTGAAATCTCTGTGCTGTTAGCTTATATATTTCACATAAGACCAACTCCATCCATAGTGGATTTTGAGCCTCCTTGCTCCTTTGCATCACATCTGTCTCTGTTTTGGTTTGGATAACTATACGGCTATGACAACAAGCAGCCATTGACACTTAACACTGAAATTCCTGAATCTAAAGCAGCACTACATTTGAACAAATTAGTCCTGCGGTGTTTACAGGTGTGTATATTTCAAACATCATTAGGCTTGAATTGCTGCCTCTCTAGTTTTTGCTCATTAGACCTGGACTGCTGCCTCCATTGCCCATTTTCTGTACTAAAACCAGGAAATTTCCTTTCCTAACAAGGCAGCAGAGACAAAGGGGTTGTCTAGTCACTTGCTGATGTTCTGGTTGACCCAGTTAATTGGCTCTTCTTGTGGAACCACCATTACGTGCTTCCAAGTGCCGAAGAACCTTGAAGAGTACCTCAAACGACCACAACTCCAGAATGCTTTCCATGACTAAGATTACAGTTCTAAGCACACTCACTTCACTATCTGCACAGAATGCTGTGCCCAGAGAACCCCAGCAGGTCCCCAGAATGCTGCCAGCCCCTCTTGACTCATTCTGTATGTCCTTTAAAGCAAGGATGCAGAACCTCCAACTTGGGGGCAGAATTGGGCCCTCCTGGGTTCACAAGATGCTCTTGTTCCCTGTCCCTACTCAGTTTCCTCCAGCCACCAATCACTTTCTGGTCCTCAGCCTTTGATACAGTTTTCTCCCCATTCTAAAGGACTGAAATTCCTGTCCTTTGGTTTATATACTCAAAGTGAACACTTAAAAGTACAATATCCTGGTATATTTGGTATTCAGCTCCTACCCCTTTCCCCCTTTTTGGATCATTTCAGAAATTGCCATCAGTCCTTTTGCACCCTGGATCGGCAGGCGTTCTAAACCAACCTTTTTCCTTGGGATTACCAGAGCAACCCTATTTCTAGCCATGTAAACTCAAAATTCCAAACCAACTCAAACTCAGTAAGCTCAAAGGCCTAAATTACATCAGGGGACCCACACATGAAAGCTAGAACCCTGGCCCTTCTGTTTCTCTTCTTGCCATGCTTGTCCACATGCCTGCCACTCACTACCCCTCCAGCCCAGAGTACAAGTGAGTGACAGAAGCAAGGAGAAAGAGAAACACTGCAGCTGTTTGCTCATTTACTACTACCAAGGATCTGGTCTGCACCTGGGTAACACCGCAGAAGGGAGTGACTGGCTGCTGTTCCAGAGCCAGGAAACAAGTGTGGGGTACGGGGAACAAACAAATTAAAACCTCACTTCAAGAGAGTAAGTGGATATACATAAATTTGCAGAGTGGGGCAGTGCTAATCTGCAGCAGCAGGAACAGTGGCCTTAAATATGGACAGAGAGAAGCACATTAGAGTGAGTGGGTGCATATAAAAAGGAAGAAGTGGAAAGGAAAAGAAAGGTACAAAGACCTATCTTATCTCAAAGACATGCAAACATGCGTATGGGTAGGGGGAGTCATACTGCAGTGCTCCACCAAGAAATTCACAGAGACTAAATTTTGCACCTTCCTCTTGTACCCTAATCATTCCTGGGCTGTGCAATGGAAAATCAGTCTCTTCTGGAGGAATTTTGCATGGAATATGGTCCAGCTTTGATTAGCATATGCATTTCCTCTGAAGACAGAGATGCTACAGAGTTACCTGTCCTCCGGGACAGCATAACCAGAACACAGAGTCACACCAGAACAGAGAGCATCCAGTATTCTGAAGGGAAAGGGTCCTTTCTTCATGCTCTAAAGCAGCTATGAGGAGCCCATGACCCTCTGAATGTTTTGGGGATCCCAATTCCCATCATGTCCAGTGGTCAGGGATGATGGGAACCAGAGTCCAATGACATCTGGAGCACCACAGGTCGCCTGCAATTCTGTGCTGTGTTCTGAAGTGTAAAATTTGCAGGAGGCGAGTGGGGACAGGAAGCATGGCTGCCGCGAGGAAGAGCTTGAGGTAGCCACTAGATGGCAGCCATAGCACAGCCAAACGGTGGGAACTGCAGCTAGGCTTCCAGCCACTTTGGTCGCAGGCAGCCTTTAACAGCTGCAAGCGTAGTGGAAAGAAGCACCACCAATTCTCTGAATAGGGCAAGTGCTCCCGCATCCATGGGCACACTGGGTCCACTCCCGTCCTGCCTTTTTTGGGAGCAGAGTGCCAGAACTCTTACTGTTGTCCAGACATCTCCTAGGAATGCACTGTTCCCATAGTCCCAGAAGGCTCCCCTCCATTTAACACAACGGGTTTGGTAGAAGATGTGCATTCCTGCAGGAGCAGCTTTACTAGAGGTCATTTCCAGCCTGCTATGTGATACACGTTGCACTTAGGGATGTCAGGGATGGAACCAGGGTTCCTCCAGTGCACAAGGTGTGCTTCCTTCGCCACCAAACTGTGGCCTTTCCAAAATGAGGCAAAATGCAAGAATGGTTGGGATAATGTTATATGGCTAAATGCACCAAGCGGTTCTTTTCTTTCTTCTCTCCCCACATGCAGAAAGCCAAGGCAAAGGGCGTGTCCCATGTCCGCATTGTCATGAAAGGCCTGGGACCTGGGCGAATGGTAGGTGCCTACAGTGTCCTTTTCATTCTTTGATGGAGAACCACCCACACACACAACATTTGGGAAGAGTGGCAAAATCTAAGGTGACAGCTCTCTTTCTTTCCCTTCCATGCTGTGAGCTGCAAGGCTTTGAAATAAGATATAATGGGGAGGTCCGAAAGAGACAGGCCTGCCCCAGGCAATTCCTCCCAAGACCAAGAAGGAACTCCTTTGCCTTCCTGACTCTTTTTATGGCAGGAGGAAAAGTCACAGGAATATGGTAAACTACCTTATGCCATGGGGGTATTGAATGTTAGGCCTGTGGGCTACATCCGGCCTGCTTAGAGTCCAAATTTGGCTCCCTGGGTTTCCTTTTGGGGAGCTGCTTCAGAGGAGTATAAGAACTATCCCCCAATATCTTTTTTGCTATTTTTGGTTTGCCCTGGTTTTCCCTCCCTGAGGCTTTGCTATGGGGGCAAGATAGGGAGCCAAGTAGAGCAATGCATTGAGACCACAATCAGTGTAGCAATGGGTATGCAGTACTGGAAGGAGGGGAGCACAGCCCAGACAGGGCATCTTCAGGCCTGGTGGTCGTCCAGTCAGCCTGCTCTTTCGTCTCCACATGCTGCTTTTAAATGCCAGATCAGGCCAAAACGAGACTTCCCTTATCCATGATTCACTGAGGCAACCGGTCTGGCATGTGTTACTGGAAGGACAGGGAGGAGTGTGTTTTTCCCAGTGGTGCTCGCAGGACCACTTGGTCCAGCATCAGAGAAGGTTGAGAGCTGGGCGGAGGGTGCCATCCCCAACAGGGATAATCCCATCTCCAGGCTCCCTGCGCATTTGCCTTCTGGACTCAAGTGTTTGCATCTTGCGTTGGGACAGATTTGGGACTGTGTTGGTGTACCTTACACCCAGGTTACTGCTCAACAGAGTCCCAATCTGTGCTGCCAGAGGGGATTTCAGTTGCAATGCTGAAGTTCCCCCCAACTATTAGTCATGGAGGGTATTAACATCCCTGAAGAGGGCGCTTCATCTGGGGCAGTTGAAGATTTCATGGATTCCATGCCACACATGAAACTCAACACATGTAGCAGGGCACACTCTGCGTTAGTTTTCCAATGGGCATGAGAATAATGTGGGTTGGATTGGTTCCTTTGTCATGGCCAGATCACTACCTGCTGACAATTTTTCCTCTCTGCAAGGGTGGAGGACCTCTTAAGATGGTTGTTCCCCAGAGGCCAATGGATCTGGATGGTTTTCACAGGACTCTGGCAGGGTTTCAAGCTGATGTAGTAGGAGGTTCTGTTAAATCTCCGGTTGATCTCTAGAATACACAGATGACCCCAGGGGTTGGCATGATTGTTCCTGAGTGTCCTCTTTGTAATAGAGCTCATACAGCTGCAAGCTATACCCTGGAGCTGAGAATACAACAATTTAGGAGGTAGCTTAAGTGCAGATGAAGCACATCTCCTAGTGGATTCAGTTGAGCTCTGGTATGTGCTTACAACAAAGTATATTTAGGAACATTGAGGGCAGTAAAGACACCTCTCACTGCCTCAAGTCAGTCTTCTCTTTGTTGTCCAGGACTGCTCTACAGGGTTGTTGGAGGCTATTAGGTGCTGGCCCCAAGGACTTCTTAGACCCATCTGAGGCCTGCTGTAATATATTTGCTAGGTACTTCCAACATAAACTTCAGTGTCGACTGATTCATCAACTGCACCCTTGCCTGGATGAGCAGGGCCTAGCAATGGTGACTTCCCGATTGGAGTATTATAGTGTGCTCTACATGGGGCTGCCCTTGAAGACGGTCTGGATACTTCAGAATAGAGTGGCCAGGATGTTAACAGAGACTGGCAGATATGCAGATATAATGCCAGTCCTTTACAATCTATACTGGCTACCAATTGAAGTCCGGGCCCAATTGAAGGTGCTGGTGCAGACCCATAAAACCCTGAACTGCTTAGGATCTGGATATCTGAAGGAGCATCTCCTTCCCTATGTGCCTGACCACCCCTTAAGATCTGAGTCAGAGGTCCTTCTTTGTCAGCTCTCTTTGAAGGAGACTGGGAGAGTGGCTACCTGGACAAGGGCCTGCTCTGCGGTGGCACCCTGGTTATGGAATATGCTGCTTGGAGAGATTCGCCTGGCACTAACACTGTATTCTTTTCGGCACCAGACCAAAACCCTTTTTATTTTCCCAACATTTTAAGGTTTAAATTGTCATTTTAATTGGGATTTTATAGAAGGTGGTGATGCTGTGCTTTACTTCATTTTATTGTAAGACCATCCTGAGGCTCTTGGTAAGAGCATGATATAGAAAAGCTTTAAATAAAATAAAAATACATTTAAAAAGTGTCCACTTCCTGGTATAGATTTTAGAGGACTGGACAGACTAGTGATCTAACTCAAAGAAAGGCAACTTCTCCTGATGTCTTCATCTTTCTGTCAGGCAGCCATCAAAGGATTAACCATGGGCGGCTTGGAGGTGATCTCCCTTACAGACAATACGCCAATTCCACACAACGGCTGTCGGCCTCGAAAGGCACGGAGGCTGTGAAGCAACAAGCTTGCATGGCAGGCTGAAGAAAGAGACTGTGTTCTATTCCCTTGCACATCTGGTTCTGAGGTGGCAGTGCTGTTCCATCCCACTGTTCCCATTATGCAGCTATCAAAACAGACACAAGCTTACAGTTTGCCCCTAGCAATACAACAGGAGAATATCTTTTTCATCTTCCGAATGAGAAATGTCTATAAAGCCTGGATGTTATTCTGTTGTCTCTGTGTGCCTCCTTCTCAAGTTTCAAGTTTGCACATTGAATTTCATTATTTGCTCCGCTGCTGTTTTCCTTTTCTGAACACAGCATTTCAGAATATTGTTAATTTGCTTCAACTGTATTTGTCATATCAAGATTGGAACAAATGAAGGTTCCAATAAAATCAGAAGGGGTGTGACAAGTCACTTAACATAAAAAGAGGCAGCTACAGGCACTGTCAAGCAATGTTCCACGTGTCTGCCAAAGCAAAAGAGCCCATTTGTTCCATTGTGTTGCCCTTGGTGTTGGCAGGCAGCAGTTTGTTTCTTGTCTTCTACGGATGGACTATCCAGATGTTAAGGTCTTGGTTCTTTTGCCCCATTGTACTTTAGAATAACTTCACATCTTCAACAAACCCTTCTTCTCAAACCCAGCAGTTTGAATGTAGGTTAACTCTCTGGGAATTGGGGGCTCTTTCTGTTGCTACAGAAAAGTGAGATACAGCACTGGAGGAAGGGCCAAGGGGCAAAGGAGTCACTGCTCCCTCCTTCGTACTGCAACCTCCAGGACCACCTCCCTACAAGGTTCCAAGTCAGCGGTGATCCCTGACTCCTTCAGGGCAGATTATCTTCCCCACACTTCTCCACCCACAAGATCTTCCAGTTTGCTGAGTCCTGCTGTGTGTTATTCTGAATCTAATTCAATGTCTCAGTTGGTGCACAAGTCCACTTGTTGTGAACAAGGATCACCGGTACTATACCACTCTGGGCCTTGGAGGTCCGATTTCCACTGCAGACTTGAGCAGGCAAGAAACTGGAGTCCCCTCTAAACAGTGACTAAGTTCCCTGCTGTTTCTTGGCTTCCCAAGAGTTTTTCCTTCCACACCAGAGGGCTTAAGGGAGTGGAGAGACCTGGAAGCAGGCACAAACTGACCAATACTTGTATCTTTGTATGATGTGATACGGTAAGTCTCCTGCTCTGGCATTTCACAGTAACAAAAATTCCTGTCCTTCTAAGCAACAACTGCCTTGAGGCAGCTTTAAAGGACTGGCCAAGATGGGTGCACCCCCCACCCACCCCCAGCACAGATGTTGAGGACCTTGCAGGATGGCAGTGTGGAAGATTCCTGCTGTTTCCAGAAAGATGGCCAACAGCACTCTTAAGAGTACAGGGATCCAGCTTCTCTCTGGATCAGATCCAGTTTGGTGGCTTTGCTGTCACAAGGGCACTTTTTATTGTCTTGTCTTCAATTAGTAGGGGTGTGTATTCTGCAAATTGAGCAAACAGTATAAAAGTGTCCTAAGTCTTTGCTGAGGAAATTGCAGCCCAGTGGCAGACCGCCTGCTTTGTGAATAGAAGGTCCCAAGTTTGATCCTCAACATTTCCCAGTAGGGATGGAACAACTCCCACCTGAAGCCCTGGAGAGCCACTGCCAATCGGTCGGCAATAACAGGCTGGATGGAGACCAAGGGCCCACATCTCATAAGACAGCTCCATCTGTTTCCAGCCTTTCTGGGGGTAGTGTTGCTGCCCCTGGAATGTCGCCAGGAAGAGGGGAGGGGAGGGGAGGGAAGAAGCACTTCACAAAAGGTTGACCATTGCCCCAGTAGAGCAGGCGAGTGATGCTGATCTTGGATAACCTCCCAGCTGTGGCCCACATTGTTGACTGCTGGAGGATGGCTGATGAGTAAAAGGAGAGCTGGGAGTGCTGCTGCTGGTTAATGAACAGCTAGCAAACATGGTTTGTTTTGTCATGACTGCTAATGCAGGTAGATTATTTCCTTTGGTCCAGCTGCCAGCTCCTAAGAGAATGTTGTTGTGTCTGTCTGTCTTCCCTTGAGTCCATTATTTTCCTCTCTCTTTTTTTTTTTAGTGGGATGGGGAGGGGGGCTAATGTTGTAATCAACTCTGCTCTTTAAAAGAAGGGCTGCCATGGCAACCAGGCAGCTGTTTTTAACTCCTTGCTAGGCACTGAAACAGCCATTTAATTTTCTCGTTTTTAGGAAATGATCTTATTTTTTTAACTGAGTGAAGACTGAGAGCTCTGTGTATAAATCATTAGGCAAGGGAAGCAAATGTAAGCTTGTGACAGAACAAGAAAACACAGAATATGTAGACTGAATATGAAACTTATCATTGAAGAAAAATGCCCACCCAGTGGAGGACATGCATGCACACAAGATTATAACAGGTTATAACAGGTATGCAGAGTACAGAATGTGGGAAGAATAGAGAAATTCCTCTTTCTCCCTTAGAAGAGAAAAAATGAGAATGATTGGCAGTTGGGTTTACTTACACTAAGATGCATTTTAGTGTTTCTAAACATTTTTAATTTTTGTTTTTGCAAAGGAAATAAGAGTTGGAGACTTATCACCTTCATTCAGCGATTTTTCTTGGGTGCAGAATCTGACTTACTTCGTAAGCACCCCCACCAACAGTGAAAGGTGTTCCGTGCATCATCTACCTGTACATGACAAGTTAATGGAGTAAGTGACACAGAATGGCTACTTTAAAGAGGAATTCTTTTGTTTGCACGTTGAAGTTCATAAGGAGGGAGAGGAGAGCACTGAAGTTGCCCACCAACTGCACCTGGGCAGCAGAATGAAGAGGCAAACACACACAGGACACCAAGTTTTGCCCCATTGTACTTTAGAATAACATAGCGCATCTTCAACAAACCCTTCTTCTCAAACCCAGCAGCTTGAATCTAGGTTAACTCTCTGGGAACTGGGGGCTCTTTCTGTTGCTACAGAAAAGTGAGATACAGCACTGGAGGAAGGGCCAAGGGGCAAAGGAGTCATTGCTCCCTCCTTTGCACTGCAGCCTCCAGGACCACCTCCCTACAAGGTTCCAAGTCAGAGGTGATCCCTGACTCCTTCAGGGCAGATTATCTTCCCCACACGTCTCCACCCACAAGATCTTCCAGTTTGCTGAGTCCTGCTGTGTGTCATATCTTCTCCGCCCGGCCTGAGGCTCAGCCGTTGGGCATCATCCCTTGTCTGCGTCCCTTGGCTGTGGCCCTGGCTGTCCGGAGACTCCCTTCCCTGAGACACAGAGGTTTGATTGTTTGTTTGTTTTGTTTGTGCTGTGCTTTGCTGTGCTTTGTTTTTCTTCCATTTTAAATTTAAGTTTATTTTATCCTTGTGTGTGTGCGCGAGTTGGGTTTTTGTCTGGGAGAACTGGGCGAGTGAGAGGAACTGCAGGACAAACAAGGCAGGGGACCAAGGTAAGGTCTCGGAAGGGATACCGATGGCAGACCAGGAGATGGCCTTGGCGGGAGTCACGGGTGTTGCTGTCCGCTGCGAGAGCTGCGACATGTTCGCCCTTCTCCCCCAGGAGAGGCAGGGATACCCTTGCCCTCGGTGCAAGATGGTGACCCTGCTAGAAGAGGAGGTGAGGTGCCTGAGGGCTGAGAGAGCTCTCCAGGCCATCCCCCGGAGCAGCCCCCCTCTGGACAGAGGGTTGAGGGAGAGACCACGGGAGGAGCAGCTGCGGAGACATGAAGGTATGTCACCCACAGGAGGAGGAGGCCAGCACAGCCTCCTCCTTCTCCTGGCACCAATCTGGAGCTGGGAAACAGGTTCTCTCCATTTGGGGAGGCTGGGGCTGATGAGGCCTTGGGGGACCAGCAGGACCACCAGCCTGGGATGTCAGGCAGCAAGGGGGCTGCTGCAGGAGAGGTGAGGGCCAGGGCACAGCCGTCCACCAGCACCGGGAATGTACGGCGGTGGGTGATTGTTGTTGGGGACTCCCTGCTGAGGGGCACTGAGGCAGCGGTGTGCCGCCCCAACCTGGAGACAAGGGAGGTTTGCTGCCTGCTGGGTGCACGCATCCGGCATGTGAAGGACAGAGTGGAGCGTCTTGTTCGCTCCGGGGGTCACCAGCTGCTCCTGGTGATCCATGTGGGCACAAATGATATGGCCAGGCAGGGTGTGGTTGGGAACACCAGGGACTTTGAGGCCTTGGGGAAGAAACTCAGGGAGCTGAAGGCCCAAGTGGCCTTCTTGTCAATCTTACCTGTCCAGGGATTTGGGCCAGGAAGGGACAGGAGGGCCTCCGAGGTGAATGACTGGCTTAGGGTGTGGTGCCAGAAGGAACACTTCGGGTTCCTCGACCACGGCACTCGTTTTCTTGTCAATGGACTTCTGGCAAGGGATGGGTTACACCTCATGACGATGGGGGAAAGGTCCTTTGGAGATACTCTAGTGAGCTTCGTCTGGAAGACTTTAAACTGAGCCGGGGGGGGGGGGTCAGGCCCCCCAGTAACGTGTCTGCACTGGACAAGTGTGGGGGGAGGATCAGGGCTCTGGGAGCAGGGTTTTAGAGATACTGCAGGGACTGACAGGACTCCTACAGAGAAGGGGCCAGGTATCAAGGAGGATGGGAGGAAGGAGGAGGCTGGGAACTCCAAGGAAAGGAAGCAGTGGGAAGGAGTTGAGGTGCATGTACACCAATGCTAGGAGCATGGGTAATAAGCAGGAAGAGCTTGAAGCTCTCCTGGGAATAGGAGGGTATGATCTGGTGGGAATCACAGAAACCTGGTGGGATGAAAGGCAAGTCTGGAATGTGAACATAGAAGGGAACATAGAATGTGAACCTTTTTAGAAAGGACAGGAAGGGAAAGAGAGGTGGGGGCATGGCTTTATACATCAGGGAAGGAATAGGATGCAGTGAGATACAATGCAGCACAGATGGGGATCTGGTAGAGGCAGTCTGGGTGAAACTTAGGGGTTTTGACAGGGAAAGAGACCTGACAGTGGGGGTATGTTATCGCCCTCCAGGTCAACTTGAGACCCTGGATGATGTCCTGACAGACCAGATTCTAAGGATATCTCAGGGGAGAGACACAGTAATTATGGGAGATTTCAATTTCAATCTCCCAGATATTACTTGGGAGACTCACTCAGCGGTGACAGCCAGGTCATGTTGCTTCCTAGAAGCTACAGAGGGAGGGTTTTTCACACAGAGGGTCCAAGAGGCAACGGGGGGGGGGGGGGGC